CGTTCCAAAATAAGCGTCCAATTTTTATTTTTATTCGTCCCAAAATAAGTGTCACATTTCAAAAGTCACTATATAAATTTTCTATAAAATTATCAATTTAACTTTCTTACATTGAACTTATAAAAAACAAACTATCATAATACTGTGGACCTACTAAAGGTAAATTTGATAATTCAGTCCGTAATAATATAATAAAAATAAAATAAAATAATTTTATTAGAAAGTTAAATTTTTAAAAAAGAACACTTATTTTGAAAGGGTTGGAGTACTATTATTAATATTTTTTTTCTCCTCTATGGACACGTTGAGATTGCATGAGCCGAGAGAGGAGATCACATGTCCAATTAAGTATAACAAGAAAAGATAATTAACAAGCATTGACTAATCATATTAAGCCAGACAAGTTCATTAACTGGCTTGGAAAATTGTTGTTAAGGAAATGTGAATATCCGACTTATAAGATTTCATTCAATATTATATACATATTATTAGGAAAACCATAAAGTATCATCATCACTTCTGAAATCATGACGTTCAATATATGATGTATGAAGTAAAAAATTAAGTCAACCTTGACCTTCCTCTTTGAAGTCAAGGAATTAGTATAAATTATTAAATCAGAGATTTTTGTGCTAATAAAATGGAATTTAAAAAAAGTGCAAATTTAACAACTTTTGAAGCCAGTATTACAAAACTAACAATTTTAATAAAATATTTACAAGTTTGTGACAAATAAAATCAAAACTAACACATTTCTGCTCATTTTTATTCACGGACGCAAATTTCTTTAGAGCCTTATTCATTCATGCAATTACTCAATTGTTCCTTTACGTAGAAAGTTATCAAATCTCTTCAAACAATTCAAATGAAATGACAGATTGATTTAGTTGTCAAAAGATCATAATATCCATCTGCAACCCTAAACAAAAAGCCACATACCAATCAATTTAGAGGGGTGAAGCTCTTTTATTTTATTTTTACTTAACTTACATTTATCAAAATAAAAATAAATTAAACAACACACAAATTAAAAATAAATGAAAGTAAAGTAAAAAGTATAGTTTAGAGAGAGAACCGGCTTTTAGAAGGAAACGTAGTTAGAGAAATCATCCAACATTCGGACACTGTCACGTGGTCTTGAACGAAAAGATTCGTTATATATGAAGTAAAGTGCAATATTGAACTTCAACTCATGCTCACACCCTGTCACTCTACCAAAACCCAATTGATGACCGTAACTAACTTTGCAACTCATCCGTTTAACAGTTCTTGACTTCAGGCTTACTCTTAATTTGTGTAGAAGGTAAATCAACTAACACTCCACAAATGTCTTGATTCCTTCAAAGTGTGATCTCCTTATTTTCTTTTAAAAAAAATATTGAAGTAGAAAAACAAAATCTGCTTAACGATCGGTAGCAATAGAATCTTCAATCACGCAAATATTGATTGACAAAGAACAACCACCTAATTCACTCAAGTGTATATGTGTGTGCTATCAAAAACCTGAAAAATAGTAAACTCTGAAATCTCACACAAAAAGGAACTTTAGGGTTTTGAATGAGAGTTTATATAGAAAATTAGAGAGGCATGCTAGGGGTAGAAAACCTTCTCAATTTCGTGCTAAAATATCCCTCTAATTCATATTTAAAAAGTTATTAGAATATGACAACAAAAAAGTTGTCTTTTTTTTGGTTCAGGGAAGTGCAACCGAGACTTATCCCGAATACTATTTTTCATGAAGGAATGCAACCAGTTCTAAAATGAAATGTAGCCGAAAGCCCTAAATACTCTATTCCAACTTCAAACCTACTCTAAGTGATCCTCTCACACTTGCCTTAACTAATTGTTAATCAATATTGAACCGAAATTGTCGGGAGTAGCTTCACTTGAGTTTTTCGCTTCTAAAATCAAGACTCAAATAAATAGAAAGATTACAACTCGATTCAAACTTTGTTTTATCCACCAAAATATGCTAATTACGTTTTTATATTTCACATCCGACTTATAAGATCTCATTCAATTATATATATATATATATATATATATATATATATATATATCTTGATCAATTTTGTACTTTATTTTTGAATTGAAGACTGGCAAAAATATGAAGTAGAAAACTACTAAGTCAACCTTAACCTGCATTTTTAAGTCAAGCAAACATATTAAAGTATAAATTATTTTGTTTGACCTTTTCGGGAAAAAAAAATATAAAAGACGGATTAAAAAAAGAAGGAAAATTATAGCTAGATTGAACAACTTTTGGAGCCAATATTACAAAACTAACAATTTTAGCAAAATATTTGCGTTATTTGACTAAAGACCAAAACTAGTTACAAAATTAAGATCATGCTTAGCTTGTCACTAATAAAATATTTCACAAGAACTCTAAAAAATATAAAACTGATTTAGAGAATTGTAGAAGACAATTATATGAAAATAGGCCTTTTATTATTGAATTTTTAAGAAATAAATAAAACAAGTTTTTGTACAATTTTCTGATTTTCACTTATCTGAAAACATAAGACTCTTGTATGAGTGAATAACCCAAGTAATTAACTCATTTCACTGCCCACTTTTAATTTATTTATGGACCACAATGTCCTTCAGCTCTTATTCATGCAATTACTCAATTGCCCTTTACATAGAAATATATTTGAATGCGGTCAAAGCATTCAAATGACAAATATCCAATTTTACTCTTATTATCTAGTTGTAAGATGGCCATAATATCCTTGTGCAACCCTAAACAAAAAGCCTCAATCCTAGGTTTGACCACACTCTCTTGTTTGGCTGAGCGAGGCTTATCACGTCATTGGTATACCTACTCAACAAAATGTGTTCTCAAGTGAAATTCGTTGCGTCTACTTAAAAAATTGCCCTTCACAAACTGATATGGGTATTTTCATAGAGTGAACACACTAATGATATGATACGTCTGGTGCATTCAATATATTCTCCTCTTTAAGGCTCTTACCACTCTCTCCCTCTTTGTCTCAGTCGTTTTTCATCCTCAAATCTTGTCAAGACACGACGACCATTTTTTTCGGCAAGAGGAACCAGTTAGAACATCCCACGAGTGACCTGAATACTCACTTGTTCTAATTCATAAGACTAATTTCGTTTCTTTATCAGGCAACTTCAAACATCATTATGATTTTTGTTTTTGTGTTTTTAGGGTTTAAGTTTAGAAGATGAAGATGACTGTTTATATACATATATATGTGTATAGATATTTAAATGTCCTATATAGGCTTACAAATGTATATATATAAGTATATGGTAGTTTGAATATTGTATAGATGTAAACAGATATTTATATATTATTCTGTCCTATTGTTGATAAATTTTATGATTATTTATGCTTATTATTTAATTTATGGTTCAAGAAACTTCAGAAAATATACCCAACATATGCATCAATGGATTGTTGAAAAAAAAGAAGAGGATGTATATACATTATTATTACCTTGATGAAAGATTAACAATAACAAAAACTAATTTTAAGTAAAATAAATCTTGCATGCTTTAATAAAACATGAATATTAAAAATAAAAAATACAGGAGTTTAATAACTTATACAAGGAATGGCCATAAAAAATTCATTTAACAAGTGAAAACTATTCTTTGACATTTTTGCATCTTGGTAATGACACTTTTGCTTTGGTAAGTACTCTAAAGACTTGCAAATATTAGAGATTAGTATATAATTTAAGATAAAAATAATGTCTTATAAATACCATCTAACAAAAATGTCTAAGAAAGAAGATTCACGTATCTTTTTTTTATTTTTAATAAGAAAATTCATGTAACTTTATTAAAACATAAAATCACGTTAATGTAATTTCTTTTTTTTTTTCTCTCTTGAATTCATATAATCGATCGATATCATACATGCGTGTATATTATCATAAATGTAACAATGATATGTTACCGTGAGACCTGCCATAATAAAGAACTTACATTTTTATTTAACAAGATTGGACTTCTAAAGTAAAGGCTAAAAGAATTCAAGTTAAAATTTCTATGAGTTTTAAAAATAACAAGTTATATCTACTTCAAGACTTACTATTTTTTTAGGCAATAAATAAATGTTTTGAAAAAATATCAGGGGGCCAACTCAAATTTTATGAATTTTGGGACAAAAAGCAAAACAACTACCCCTTTCCCATGAGAAATTATTCATTGTAACCCTTACAATGATGACGTGGTGTAACGAACAGTTGCAAACATTCTACAAAAGCAAAGTGGACCTACAAAAGAACCAAAAAATTGATATATGTGCTTTGATGAAGTGCTTGTAGTAGTTCGTTACACCATATTATCGTTGCAACGATTGTAATGAATAATTTATTCTTTCCCGCCACTACGTTTGCAGGTTACAAGTTGTACCATTGTGAATCGGCTGTGTGAGAAAATTCACTCGAGAGAGGAGTGGATCTTTGTCATTTGAGTTGTTTTGGGGCATTTTGGTAAGGTTGTAGGTAGAGGGCAATTGAGTAATTGCAAGGATAAGGGTTGAAAAGCGCATTTTGGTCCATGAATAATAAAATGTGTTAGTTTTGTAATTAAGTGAACATTAAAATGTGTTAGTTTTGTAATTAATTCTCGTAATTTGCCAGATCTTATAAATATTTTGTAGAAGAAGTTAATTTTGTAATATAGGTTCTGAAAGTTGTTGGACTTTCAATTTACCCTTAAAAATAAAAAATAAAATTCCCATCACTACAAGAAAAATGGCTTTTAACAAGGGGTGAAAAATAGTTCTACAACGGGCATGGCCCATTGTGGTATCCCTTGTCGTTGTTGACTTAGGGTCTTCTACGACGGTTCCAGCCCATTCTAGAAAGATGGCTTTATATGACGGGCAGCACCTGTTGTAGAAATATTGCTTTCTACGACGGTCTACGCCCCTTGTAGAAAGCAATTTAAAAAAAAAATATTTCAATGGTTGCCTTACATTGCCCCACAAAATCAATACAACTAAATAGAGCAATAAATCCAGCCAAAGGTATATATATCCACACCAAGCCTTATACAAACAATATGATACAAGATGAAAAAGAGTTCAAGTCATATAAAAATGAAAATTTACATCTACATCCTACTAATCACGAACAAATAAATCCCAAATTTATTTTATATTCATTAAAGATTACGAAGTTCCCTTCATTGTTACCATCTATACAAGGATTAGAAAAGTTTGAATACCAACACAACCAAGGCATTTCCCATCACACTCAGATTGCAGAAACTGTCCCTCCAAAGCATTCAAGGCAAGACTCCAAGCAGCTAAACATAACTGAAAACAAAGAAGAAAATTTTAGCCGAAACTCTCACTAAAGAACTCAGGAAAGAAAAAATATATTAAAAATAAATAAATCAGGGCATACACAGATCGATCTATGAATTAATTTACTATGATCCTAGATAGCACAGTTCACTACTATGAATCAATCAACAAATCAGATACTTAAGCACAAATTCATCAAAATAATTGTAAATTATTAACAAGTTATTCATATCAACAGGATTAATTGAGATCACATATAATTATACAAACACATACAAGAGGACGGGAAGGAGGATTGGCAAGCTGAGATTGCTGATATTTCAAAGTGGTCCAATCAAACACATAATCAAATTGAAACCATGAAGCAAAAAGAAAGCAACAAACTTGAGTGTGTAACTTTAAAATTAAAAGCATAACTACTGCACTTAATTTGATCTTTCCAAAACCTAAAGGATACATAAAAGGTCAACATTATCATACAATTTTAATCAAAAAATATTTCTACAGTTTCTTTCAAGAATTGACTGCTATGAATCATTAAGAATGTAGAGATTCAAATTAAGCACAGAATTGTTAAATGAAACGCAAATTCGGAAATTCAAGAAAAATTATTGAACTTGAACAGCTTCATGATTCGAGAAGAAAAATTAGAATAAAATAGGGACTTCTTCATTTGGTAACACATACCCACGTAGGCGAAGAAAAGGCAATACAGAGCTGAAATGGTTTGGTGTTGGGATTGAGGCAAAGACAGCTTTGAATTTCCCTGAATCGTAAATTATGTTTAACAAATGTACTTGGAAAAGAAGGTTTATTTACTATGGGCTAAACACTTAAACTATGGATTATTTGCATTATTTGGACATCAAAACACCTAACTTACCAAGTATGGAAAAGAAAATCATGAAACCAGCAAATATCTGCACAACACTTCGGCTGCCAACACATGTCAATGCTAACAAACCAGTATTTTCACTGTAGAATGGGAGGAAAAATCAAGTTCTATTCCCCTGCTGATTAAGAATGAAAATTTGCAGCACAATTTACAAATTTATTGCACAAGAATCTTACACTAATACTGAGGATCCATTCCCAGTTCCAAATATTCACTACAACATATTAGGTTTTTACCAATGCTTCTAGAAAAATCGCTGGTATAGGTCTAATATTACCAGTGCTTTTTTTAAAAGCGCTGGCATATGTGTATTGGTACCAGCACTTTTCCTAGGAGCGCTGGTACGATGTTCAAAAGCGCTGGTATAGGTGTAATAGTACCAATACTTTTTGTAGGAGCGCTTGTATAGGTGTCCCTATTTTTCCACTTCCCTCCATGTTTTTTTCCCTCCCCTCCATTTTTTCCCTCCATTTATATTTAGAATATTTGGGCCCTAAAACTACGTCGTTTTGTGGGGAATTAACATAGTATTCTCCACTTTCCCATTTCAATTTGCAATATAGCCCTAATCATATTTTGCAATAGCCCTAATCCATCAGCCGTTCTCTCGCCTTCTCATCACGGTCATACCTTCCATCACAGCTCTCTCATCACCGGTCGCGCCTTCCATCACAGCTCTCTCATCACGCCTTCCATCCCAGCTCTCTCAGCCGTTCTCTAGCCTTCCATCACAGCTCTCTCATCACGGTCTCGCCCTTCCATCACCGGTCGCACCTTCCATCACAGCTCTCTCATCACGCCATTCTCTCTCCCATCTCAGCCATTCTCTCGCCTTCCATCACAGCTCTTTCATCACGGTCTCGCCCTTCCGTCACCGATCGCACCCTTCCATCACCGGTCAACGATTCGAACTTCTTCAAGTGAAAGCTTGAACCATTACTCTCTCTGTCTTCCTATTCCCAACCCAACCATTCCTATTCCAGACATCATCTAAGTAGATTTTGAAGCAATTTGGCTTCGAGTGCGTAGGGGAAGAAGTGCCGTCATCAAGCCGAGAATACGGAAACAGCCAAAGCACTAAACAAGATCAGGTGGGTTTGATTTGAGATTTTTATAATACGGAGTATTATTATACCATGTCAATTTATAGAATGAGAATTCTTATATTTATATTATTGCGTATGAATAAAATTCATAAAAATCTAGAACAAATATTGCTTAAAGGCACTTCTATTTATTTATCAAGTGTTATATGAACTTTCAACAATAAGCATTTATTTTGACTCTAATTTGATAAACAATGAAAATTATTACTCTCCCCCATTTTCATTGATTTTCTTTTCCAGTGTTTATAATTCTCCAAGTATGAATCATGAAACCATAATTTCGAGTTGATGAGGAATGAAATTTGTTGACAGCTTAGCGACCGGAGAATTTGGGAGCGCAACTATGATCATTGCATAGTGTTCCAGTGTAAAAATTTTCTCAATGTTAAAATGATTAAAAAACCAAACTTACCATTATTTAAGTTGGGGTCATTGTCCATAGCAAGGAGATCTCAAAAGAGGTCGTACTCATAAAATTATAGTTCTATTGATGAAACAAAAGTTGTTTATAAGTGTCGTATAACTAAATAACTTATATGCACAAAATCAGTTTAATCACAATTGATCAAAAAATCAGAGTGTAAACAAGATCAGGTGGGTTTGATTTGGAATTTAGTTCACGCAACAACGCATCCTCCCAATTTCAATAATTCTGCAACCACTATTTGATCTCATTATGTACCTAAGATTGTTGTTTTCAATTTTTTTTTTCTTTGTACAGGAGGAAATAATCGATCGTAGCTTGGATTGTTGGCACAAGTTTTGTCATTGATTAGTCTGATTTTGTTTTTCAGGTAATTTCTTTCTTTCTTTTTTTTTTTTGTGTTCCAACATTGAGAAAACTGTATATAAATAATATACAGTTTGTTTTTAATTAAAATTAATAATTTTATTTATTACTATTTTTTAATGTTTGGTGGTTAAAATAATATTGTATATAAATATCAATTAAAATTCAAACAAATCGCAATATGATTAGTTGGGAATCGAAATTAGATCCTCTAAGACAATTAAGGATACAAAAATATGGGGCTTAAAAATTCTCTTACTGTATACTTTTTCTGTACAGTTTTCTAAAAGAGTAATCTTTTTTTGGGACAGAAGAAGTATATAGTAAGAATTTCCTAAAAGAAAAGTTCTTCTTTAAGAGTTAAAAGTTTATTAAAAAAGACATCCAATATTCAAGAGAACACTTGAATATTTTATTAAGAAAATATTATAAAACGATTTGAACACAAAGTTTCACTCAACACGCAGAGCCTTTCAATAATTCTTATGAAAGATGAAGCTACCTAACTCCAGTACTAGCGAATTAAATCTCCATCAAATGCCATTCTTTTTTTCCCACCTAACTACTCCAGAATTAAACGATTTGAGCTCAATAAATTGGCAATTTAATCTAACTCTCATTCATTGGAGATGAAGAATTGATGATCATCAAACCTACCACTTTGGCTGTCCCCACTACTAGTCATTTTAGTCTTTATGATCACGTAGATGTATAATTCAAGTGCCTTAATGTAGAGAATCAAACTTCATAATCATCTGAATCATCTGAATCAACAAAATGTCATTTGAACTTGTGTATTTGTGTTGGAGAGGGGTGGGAAGTGCTAATTAACTTATTATTATTATTATTCTTGACTTGTTTATTTACTTCTCCCTTGGTCCTTCACAAAAAATAAAATGTATATATATAAAATATTTCCAATAGTTTATTGAATATTCTGTCAGGTCAATTCTATTACTACTTCTAGGGGGGTTTTCTTTTATGAAGCCTTTTGTCATTTTTACATGTTTTATATTATATCAAGCTGGAATTTTTTTCATTGATGTACATTTATTTGTTCTTTATCGAAGAAATTATGATGTTGTCCATATATGCCACTATTCTATACTACTTTTATTTCTAAACATTTTGTTTTTAAATTCTTAATTTTGTTGGACTTATTTTATTCAATTATTTGTATCTCTAGCTATGTTGAACGCTTGCTTGACCGTATAAGCAATGGTGTCCTGGCAGAGGATAGGAGGACTGCTATTACCGAACTCAATCTGTTGTAGCAGAAAGTCATGCTGCCCAGCTAGCTTTTGGGGCAATGGGTTAGTAATTATTTCTTTTTGGATAAAATTTGATGCTTTCTCTTACATGCTTGTGACATATAATAATCTATTCACTTCTTTTGCAGGCTTTCCAGTACTTTTGAGTGTCTTAAAGGAGGAGCGAGATGATGTTGAAATGGTTTGAGAGCTTCTACCAGTAGTCTGTTGACTTAATGTCTTTTTCATATTTAGTTTTGTACCTTTCTTGAGAAATAAATGTCATGGTCTCTGTTTTAAACAAATAAACTGGAAACTGAACCATAAGCATTCCACTGTATGGCAATTCGATCTTAAGGTCCAGTTACTTTAACTTTAAAGTAATTTTTTAAAAAATAAATAAATGTTAAGAAGAGGAAGACCTTCACTTCAACATTTAATATCATGTAAATACATAATCAACATCTGAAATGTAGCATTTTCAGAAACACTCTTAGTTTATACCACATTAAAATTTTCTTGCAGAGTACAGTGTTTTTGGATACTCTTTATTCCCGTTGTCCATTTACAAATCCTATTTTCTTTAATACTCACTTAGAGAAGCTTCAAGGAACTGAGCTGTGTTAATTATTGTGGTTACCCATCCTGCTGCACCAGACCACCTCTTAATTCTGCTAATGGAAAATAGCGTGGTCCTTTCTGCTTTTACACTGTAGTGTACAATCTTTATAATGTGTTACCCATCCCATTTTATATATCATAAAATGACTGATGTTGCTTCGGAGACTTGCAGGTCCGAGGTGCTCTTGAAACTCTTGTTAGTGCTTTGACTCCAATTAATCATGTAAAAGGGCCAAAGAATGAGGTTCAACCAGCTTTAATGAACACTGATTTGCTTTCTAGGGAAGCAGAAAGCATTTCTCTTCTTCTAAGTCTGTTGGTGAGAGTTAGATATCATGATCTTTGAACCTGAATAATGTATCTATTGAATTTTATTTTATTTTGCCTATACCTGCTCATTTTGTTAGGTATGTTTCTGGCAGTCGGAGGAGGATTTCTATGTACGGTATTATACACTTCGACTTCTGACGGCCCTTCTTACAAATTCTCCAAATAGGTACTCTTTCCACGGCCCCTTTCTTTCTTTTTAAAATTTTGGATCTCTGGATCATGGTAGAATAGAATTTGCTGAGTTCCTGTTCAGGTTACAGGAAGCCATCCTGACCATTCCTCGTGGTATCACTCGGCTTATGGATATGCTTATGGATCGTGAGGTATGAATTTTTTGCTGTTTATTTAATTTTATTTTCAACTATTTTATATTTTTACACCATAGTTTGACAAAAGTTTACGAGTGTTCTGGGCATAACCTTGATAATTTCTTGTTCAATGTCCTAAAACATTAGCCATTCCCAAATAATTTATATTTTTATACCAATAATAGAAAATTTATCACAAGTTAGTGGACGTATATATTCAGTAGCCTTGTTTATTTCTTTTTCAATATCCTAAATATTAGGCACTTACTTTAATTAATCTAAAAAAATTCCTGAACTGGATTTTGCCTAATGGAACTTTCTCTCAAACAAAAAATGTGAAGTTACGTCCTTTTGTCTTGTTCTTCTTGTTGTTGGATGCTGAAAAACCGATATTCATAATGTTAGGAAATTCAAAAAATCGTGGTCTTTGAAGGTGCTTTTGACAAGATTTTTAGTATTGTAAAAGAGGAAGGGGGTTCAGAAGGTGGCGTCGTTGTGCAGGTGATTCACTGAACTACAATTTGTTCATTTATATAATTGTTTGTTTGACGGTTCTGCCATTTTCCTTTCTAGGTTTTTGGCTAATATTTCTCTTGCTATGCAAGTGATCTTGTGAGAAGAATTAGTGGTATTGGTTATCTTTCCTTTTATGCCACTTCAATATTTATTAAGGTTTGAGTAGTCCACTTCAAACTGCTCAAAGTGAATGTACTAATTACTACGAATTACATAAAAATTCCGACTTCCAAAGATTCCACCTTAGTTTCTACTTCTAGTGATTCCTTTAATGCCCTTGTCTACATTTTAACTTGGTTTATGCTTGATGGTTTGCTGTTCTTACGAACCATCTTGCGTGCACCATCTGCACCTTAAGAATCTTCTACCATCATCTAATTCTGATTGTGTTGAATTCTCATTCATATTTTCAAGCATTTGAAGTGCACTGTGAGGAGTTTAAATATATGACTGATAATGTTGCTGATATATTTGTCATTGCACAGGACTGTCTCAAATTGTTGAACAATCTCCTATGTAACAATGCATCCAATCAGGTTTTGAGCTTTCTATTGTTTTCATTATTACTGTGCAGTTCTTTCTGTTGCTAACCGTGGTTGGTATTCTATAGGTACTTTTGAGGGAGACGTTAGGCTTTGATTCCATATTATCAATTTTGAAGCTCAGAGGAAGTACATACAAATTTACCCAGCAGAAGGTTAGGCACTCAATATGTTTGTAACTTTAGTCAGTTTCTGTAACTACCGTGTGCCTGTGTATACACCATGTATATGAATTTATATATGCTATCACATAATCCTTACTGGTCATTTTTTCTCGTCTTTCAAACTCATATCATGCCAGTAGACGATAAATCTACTCAGTGCGTTAGAAACCATTAGTTTGCTAATTGTTGAAGGTCCGGAAATTGAGACTGGAAAAGATGCCAATAAGCTGACCAACAAAACAGTCTTGGTTCAGGTCTGTTCAGAATTATTATATGCTTTAATTTATACCTAAAGAAGCTTTTAGTTTATTAACATCTCTCTAATTAATCTATTTTATTGGTTGCAGAAAAAAGTTCTTGACGATCTATTAATGTTAGGAGTTGAAAGCCAATGGGCTTCTGTTGCAGTGCGTTGTGCGGTAAGATCTGCTTTTGATTCATCAGATGTTTTCTTCTTCTTATTTATCTCTTTCTTTCTGGCTTTGTGTTTGTGTGCATGACCTTGTGCATCCAGTTTGTGTGTGTTAAAAAGTTACACTTCTAATGATGGAATGCATGCAACTCCAGCTTGGATGTTAGGTTACTTGAGAAAGCCAATACGGATGTTTGCTACAGATTGCATGATCTAGATTGTGGAATATCTTTATCTCTAATATATCCAAAATGTTTAAAATGTATAGTTGTTTACAAGGTTTTATTTTATGAGTACTTTTTACACGGTTAAAGAAAAAAACTGGAGAGGAAATCAAGCTTGTTAATCCTGTCTATCTCTTACGTTGCTATCACTTACATTGCTTGCTATCATGATCTGAAATTGTTTCTTATTTCTAATTAAGATACTTTTGACTGCTATACCCTACTCTTGTTTGTTATGTTAAGTTGCAATCCTTAAGTTCCGCCTATAAAATTGGCTTCTGACCATTGCTCCGGTAAATCTACAACTAACACAGTTAGATTTAAGTAGTGTAATTTCTTAACTTAAAAGTTTTTCAATTTAGAAGTTTACATTAATATTCATGCCTGATTCTTCACCTTTCATGTCATAATATTTTCTTTTTGGTGGTTTTACACCAGCTGTCTTGTGTCTTGTCTGTGTTTCAATAAAAAGTTAAATTGTTGCCTTAATTAAATGACAGCAAACTAATCTGTCATTAACTAATACAGTCTTACTTGGTTTGCCACTCAAAAATAATCATATATAAAACTTATTTTTAACTTGTTTGGAACTGATTTTTTTATTTTTAAGAATTGTTAGAAAAGCAAGTTACATGAATGTAGTAGTAGGTTTGTAGTGAATGGAGCTTTGGAAATCACTTCTTGTGCATCATCTTTGCCAAGTACTCGTATTACCAATTAACAAGTATCCCGAATTTGTAAGTAAAATGGTCCTCAGACACACACACACACACAAATAAATAAATGGGCCTCAGACTTCAGGTTGAAGCTAAGTACTATTATTTAGGTTCTGAAATGTCAGTATATTGCGCACAATTTTTAGCATTCCTTTAATTTCTAGCATTTTGTCTGTAAATGAAGTGGGTGTGAATATTTTGAAGCTTTAGATTGTATGAAAGTTCAACGGTATGTACAACTATATTTTCACATTGTGAAATGCACTGCTGTTTCAGAACACTTTGGCTTTCATCATTACCAATTTGTTATCTAATTACTTTTCTGTTCAGCTGTTTCTGGATTCCTGTTCTATTATTCATTTCATTAGATTTGTCTGAATGTTTCATAGCAGTATGTCATGGTAGTTCAAACTTTTTTTTTTTTTTTTTTTTGGCAGGAAAACATAAAAGAACTTCAAAAAAGTTACTCTGACTCACCTATTGGCAGTTCCAATGATTTGTTCTCCATTGTGAGGGGAGAAGAGAGAACTGGTCGTGTGCGGATGCTTGGCTTAGGGCTTACACCAAGCGATGTTTGGGGGCCCTCTCCTAGTAAAGTTGAACTAATTAATAATGCAAAAAAATCTGATGAGAGGCACGTGCTGCACGCGTAGAGTTGCAGGAGAGCATTTCAAATATGCAAGCCGAGTATGACAAGAAGTTGGAAAATTTACGAGCCAACTATGATAATATGTTGGAAAATTTACAACAACAGGTGGTTATGCTAATGCAGATGCAACAACAAAATTGTAGTGGACAGGTATATTTATTATTAGTTTTACTCTTTACTAAATATATGTTTACTTATGCCAAGATTTCATGTATTTTGTTTTCTTATTTTGAAGGGTTCTGATTCTTTAAATGCTCCTCCTAGAGTATCCCCAAATTCATTTTATAGTCGTGATGCCAATTCAGTTAAGGTTATGAACTTTTAATTTCTCTTATATATATGTTAAATTTTCATTTATTATAATGTGTACGTAATGAATTTCTAAAAAATGTAGGGTAATTCAAATCTAATGAGCAACAAGACTTGTTGAAGTTGAAGATGGGGTCGTGGCTGTGCTTTCTGAATTTCCTTCGCCTTGGATGGGTTCTTTTTGAAAAACTTGTACTATATTTGTCAAAAATTCTTAATTCTTTTTGTCTGACATTTAGTAGCTTTATTTAGACAATTTGGATGGTATATTGGCGGTTAACTTGTGGTTGTATTAGTATACATTTTTGCTTTTTGATTGACATTTATCAGCTTAACTTGTGGTTGTATTAGTAGCCAATTTTGATGGTAATTTTCATATTGGCAAGGTTAACTTTGTGGTTGTATTACGTAAAAATAATTTGGATGGTATTTTTATATTAACTTGTGTTATATTGGATGACATTTAGTAGTTGGTAGTTGCAATAGTTGTACTGATATTTTTTTCCAAAAACTACATATATATATATATATATATATATATAAATTATTTTCCAAAAACTATTAAAAAAATATATATTACAAAAAAAAAAAAAAAAAAAAACCCTTTACTAGCGCTCTTTTAAGAAGTGCTGGCATAGGGGGGAGGAAAAAAAAATTAAAATTACTCTTTACCAGCGCTTTAGCAAAAAGCACTGGTAAATACACTTTACTAGCGTTTCTGTAGAAAGCGCTGGTAAAGTCTTTTACCAGCGCTTTTCCAGAAAGCGTTGGTAAATACTCTATGCCAGCGCTTAGCGCTGGTAAAGGCCTACCGACACTGGATTTACCAGTGCTTTTTCAATTACCAGCGCTTTTTTAGACTTTTACCAGCGCTTTTGAGCGCGGTAAAAGCCAGAACTGTTGTAGTGATTTCAGAGAACAATATGCCCACTCCCTTCAATAAAGAACAGAATTAAGATGATTAGAACACACAGGACATTAATAATTACAGAGTCAAATTTGGAGAAGTATTTTATGAACAGAATTCATGAACAAAAGAATGAAACATCGAGAACATTTCTACTTTTGAAGGCAAAATTGCATTGCACATAGCCCATAACAGAAAACAGGTGTGAGAAAAACTCAAAAATCAGTTGATAAAATTTGCAAAAAAAAAAAAAAAAAAAAAAAAAAAAAAAAAGCACGCAAATACATTATGTATTCCACTGCGATTGAGATACGAAACTTGCGAAAAGATGAAATTCCATGTTTGCACTTAATAGAGACAAATGTAAGATAATAATATCAACAACAGATCATGTATTAAGGTGCCACAAAATTTATTGAAAATATTAATAAGTTAAAATGTGCATATATCTAAACACCAAAAAGAAACAAAAGCCATATGTAAACAAAGGTTCACACTAGTAAATTAGTGACATTCATATCATTTCTCGTGACCAAATTACTATCCTTAATGTGGTATGGCTAAGCAAAATTTTCCAACAATTCATTCTGAACTTCAGTCTGTTTCAAAAGACAATATCTTTCGAAAGTTGAAATATATCCTAATTGCATCATATTAGTGCTGAAAACTATATATAAATTTTAAATTATATATGCAATTGTAAGCAGCTCGTAAGGAAAAAACAGAACCTGGAAGATTTTCTAATCTTTAATTTGTAAAAAATAGTTGCTGCTTCAAGGGTGAAGCTGTGTTACCTGGACTCGTCAGTGAAGGCCAGAGTGCCCGTGTCGACACGACACGACACGGACACGAGATATGCGTCCGACCCTCCATTCTTCAATCGGACATGGCTGACCAAGAAAATACATAAAATGATGTGTAGTTTGATGCTTGTGAAGGATCAGGAATTTTTTTTGTGTTTTTTTGTTAAATCTGTAGCCATACAAAGCTTTCTATTTCAACAATGGCGTTCTGGTTCGGATCGGTGGTCTGGAGGTTGAAGACACTTGTTGTTTGTGAACTAGCACGCGCTGGCTTTTGTTCAATTTTTTGTGCCATCTTGAGCGTGGTTTCACGCAATTGTTAATAACTTAACACCTGTTTATTTGGATCTGAAAAGATAAGGGATGGGACACAGCTGTAAAGCATTACTGTGGTGGGTTACAGTTGTAAGCCTGTAACTTTGCTTTTTACAATACTCTTATAAATACCATGTACATTGAATGGGCCTCCTTTTTAATTGTGCTTTGGACTTGTGCAGGCCCAAAACCCAAGCATCAATCAATGACTAAAATGCACAAAAAGACATATTAGCCCATATTGAATTAGTCATTCTTTTTAATCGTGCTTTGACTTGTATAGGCCCAAATGCCAAGATGCACATACATAGGCATATTAGCCCAACCCCAAACCCGCCCTTAGGTATACAAAAGAAGCCCTATAGTTCAGAATTTCTTATTTACAAGTTCCATAAAATAGCAGTAACAGGAGAACGCATAGCCATGACATGCCACAAATCAAATGAGGCAAACAAATGCAGTAATAATTATAAAATTTTTATAAAAAAGTACAATTGATATATATATTTTTTAGTTTTATGATTAATGTCTCAAACATAAAAAAAAAACTTGCAAATTTTTCTCTTTTTTCAAAGTGTCCAAGTACCCGTGTCCAATATTTGGACACTTTTAATCCGTGTCCCCGTATCCTGAAAATTGATAGATTGACGAATCCGACCCTTAGACACGTACCCGTGTCCGACACCCGTACCCGAGTCCGGGTAACATAGGGGTGAAGTACAGGACTTGAGAGGAACGCAAGATTTTTTATGCCTCTGACATCTCAATGCTACCAGCTCGGCAGTTTCAAATTTAATAATAGGATCCTCAGCACAGGCCAGCAAGGCCATTCCATTCTTTAATCTGAATCCAACTTCGATCCTTCACCTTGCCATAAGTTGAACAACAGTGTTGTGGTCCTATCATATTCAAGAATGCATAGACTTTATTCCTGAGGTTAAATGCGCGAATGAATGATTAATTATATCAAGAATACAATAATTTAGAATTTTGATGAGAAGAGAAAAAAATAATTCAAGCAACTTAAAATAAAACAGAAAAAAGAAAAAACCAGATAGCAAGACTCCTGGATTGAGCAACTCATGATGCATGACTACATAAATCTTCTAATGATGTAAATCAAAGAGCAAAACTCCCAGATTCAAAACCTATTATATCAAATAACAAGATATACAAAAATCAAAAGCAATTGAGTTGTAGAGATGAGAAAGAGAGAGACCAATCATAGAATCTTGGAATTTATGGTTTCTTAAATTTGAATTTGTTCCCAAATAACAAGTTAAATTTGTTTTATGTATGCCTTTTTGTAACCCCAAATGATATAACAAGGCATTTGTATTAATTAAAGTGATGAGCATTTCTCTTTAGGCCGTAGACAGGTATCTCACTGAACAGTTCCATTGGGTTTGTCATCTAAGCCAAACATAGAGTTGGTTCTAGTATGAGAAATAAACTGAAACAAAAAACGGGGCAATTCAAATTCAGGCCATTACGAATTGCATATATTAGCCAAGTATAACTATTAACTAACAATTAGATTTGGGACAACACAAGAATGCTTGATTTATTTTGGGTCCGGGTGAAAGGCACTTGCAATGGAGAAGTCATTGGGGGAGCATAAAAGTGAAAAAATATAATACAACACTCAGCTTGTTTTTCTCAAGACTTTAAATTACTTGTGCAATTTTAGTAAACTAAATTTGAACGAAATAAATATGATCTTTTAAATCAAATCCACTTGGGACTTAAGTCAAAGTGTGAGATTAATTATATGAAAACCTTTTCGTTGTAGAGAAAAGTTGAAGGCATTGCCTAGCAATGATGAGTGGGTGCTCTCTCACTTTGAGTTATTTATTTATGTGTTGTGTTCATTAAAATTTACATACATTGTTGGATGGTTTAGAAATATTTATTCATTTAGTAAAATGATGAATAAATTTTTTAAATCAAAAAATTGAAGGGGCGTTATTCTGAACTTTGTCCTGTTGTACAGTTTGAGTAAGTTGAACTTGTAAAACCAAAACAATAACAGCTTTAAACATAATTTTCATTGGTTAGATTTAAAAGATCTTATCTATTTGGTTCAAATTTAGTTTTCTCATATCCATTTTAGGGTGCCCAGTGATGGTGTTTGTAGAAGTAACAAGCAGTCATAAAAAATGCAATTTTTTCTCATGCTATGTTAAGCAAAAGCATAGCAGGAAATTTAAAAAATGAATTATATTCTACTAGTGATTTAATGAATGAAAATATTTTAACTCCAACAACCTACAAAAGTAAAAGAATCCTATCCACTCACACCAACATTAATATAAATGTGTGTGTGTGTGTGTATTCAGTTCACGGTATGCCATGGATATCAATGATACCTTGGTTAACTACTATGCTAACAACCCAATTTTCCAGCAATGGTGGTATGGTATTTCTAAAGGGAGAAAACCAACTGATATATTAGATGTTCAAAATGCTCTACGTTAAATAAATAAATAAATAAAATAATTAGATGTTCAACAAGATCAACATATATGAGATGTTCAACTGATATCAATTAGTTTTGGAACTCAATCTCATTCAAAAGTTTTAACATAAGAAAACAAAACAAATCCAAGTTTTAAGCCACATTGCTAAACCTTGGAGGATTTTTCATATTATATAAATGTATTTTATTGTATAATGAATAATATTACAGAAAGTTTTAATCTTGTCTCTCAGCAACCAAACAGAACATTAAGGTTTACATTAGTCTCCAAGTTTTAACCTGGAAAGAGTTTTTAACAGTACTTTGATCAGAAAATGCCCCCAAAATCGACGCTTAATTAAAATAAAATTAAATTAAAAAAAGAAGAAAAAGAATCAGGTAAATGAAGAATAATAAACACTAATGTGGACGGATAAAACCCTAAAAAATTGAAAATGAAACCAAATTTTTTATTACCAGCTAATAAGTTGTATGAAAGAAATTGAGAGCTACCTGATAATGACTTTAATTGTATTTTCTCCAAACTTCATTCCCCAAATCAGACGGACTTATGAAACAGATCTGATGCATATAAGGTCTAAAAAATAGAGAAACAGAAAAATACTAAATACATGGACGAAAAAAAAATATCAGAGAACTCGCGAAAGATGAAGCTCCAGAAAACTCGCGAAAGACGGAGCTCCAGCAAAATTCGTACCTGGGCAATTTTCCTCTGAAGGTGAAACTCGCGAAAGACGAAGCTCCAGCAAAATTCGTGCTTGGACTTAGAGAGGGTTAGGGTTTCGTATGGATTCAAGAGAGAGAGAGGGGTGTTTTGGTTGATTGAATCGTACGAAGTTTGGGAGGAGAAATGAATTTTTTTGAGCGCCGCCTGATGAAAACAAGTGCCAGGAAAATGAAATTTTCACCAAAAACACTCAACCCTATTCTATAATGGGCTATGCGGGCGTGTTGTAGAAAGTCCATTCTACAATGGGCTATGCAGGCCTGTTGTAAAAGAATACCTTTCTACAATGGGCCATGCGGACCTGTTGTAGAAAGCACTTTCTACAAGGGATCTGTGGGCCTGTTGTAGAAAATGTGTTGTAAAAGACTCATTTTCTTGTAGTGCATGCGAGCATTATGTTTGTTTGAGTTGTAGCCTGCATTCTAGATCTCAGTCATAATGCTAGTATATATAGTATTATATTTGTTCATATCAATCATTGACTAAATGTGGTTATATAAGAAGAGTGTGCGTGCCAGAGATGAACTACAAACGCATTGCACCTCTCTTAGAAGAAGGTAAAGCAGGTGAGGCTTTTGTGCTTCTGGGAAATGGAAGTAATGGAACAACGGAAGGAGGTGCAGGTGGAGGTGGAGGAGGAGGTGGTGGTGGCTTTGCGAAGAAGGCGGCCTCTTAATGGAGGTAAATCACCCACTTGTTCTAACCACTCTATATTAACTAATATTTGTTCACTCATATTACATTGTAAGTTTCCTTGCTTGCCAAGTGAAGTTTCCTTCTTTCTTTAATGATCATCTTCATCTATTTATTAATTAGTTAGAAATTGCTATTAATTCTTACATATAGCGTCTGAAGACAACTCGCGCAAAATCTGGAAAATGAAACTTTGAGTTTATTGAGATATTAATAATGATTTGAAAACAATGATTTAGAGTTTTACACAAAAACGCAGAGAGTTTATTTGTGTATATAGCAGTATATATAAATTTTCAGGTAATGATAAGCTCTATTACTATAAAACTAACTACCATACAATAATGTCCAACACACGCAGTGATGTGAGCAGTGAATATGACTATCAATGACAAGGAGAATTTAAAGCAAAAAGGCAACCAATAATGCATAACCTGTATATTAGTTTATTTCCCAGAAAGACAAAATCTAAGAATTCGCAGATGAATTTTGAAATAAATGTAATTTGAGGCATTAACCACCCTTCATACCAGCTAATTAGCTAGGTGCTAAGAATTAATTCAATGCTTCAATTTATAATACCAGTTGGGATCGATGGCAAATTTTTCTTACATTTGGCGACATTGCATTTGGTAACATTTCATTTGGTAATCCTTTATCACATAAAAATTTTATGCGATGATCTCTTAAAAAACCACCTAAATAAAAATTGGTTGGTAACCAGTTTCCTTCTTGCTAACTAGCAAATCTTTTAGATTCTTTTTTGTATTTCTTTGGATGAATTAATATGTATTTATTTGTAATTGTGCATATACACGTGTACAACAGTTTTCTGTCTTAAATGTTTAGTTCATGGTTGCAGGTACTCAAACAATAACTACTGAATTTTCCGGAATTAAAAATGCTTCAGTTGAATTCCATAGATCAAGGCCGCGAAAATCTGAAGGGTGGGGAGGAAACGATAGAATCAGAATTCCATAGATTAGGGCTGGACACAGATCCCAAGCCAGTTGGATGCTTATCATGCTTCAGTTTTTTCCTTCCTATAGGTACAATTTCATTGCAGCCCTGACAATAATTCTCTCTGTTCCCATCATTTTATATGTGTGCAATTTGATATTACTTCTGACCATTGATTACTCATTCAATGATTTGATTATATTCTACTTATAGTGCAATTTATTTTACATCTTTGGAATTCCTGAACAAATTAAGAGCGTGTGCCAAATTTGATAAGGTAATGTAATGGCAATGTTTTGTCATCATAGTCACCATATAAGGAATCATTCTGCTTTATTTGAGGGCATTTTAAAGCAAAAAAATGTAAAGGGGAAGCTTTACTTGGAATTAGATCATTTTAAATCAAAACCTGTCATGAAAAGATTTCATATTTTTCTGATTGTTATTGGCAGCAACAGTTAATGTTTATCATAGCAACTTCTGACCAATTCACACATTCAATTTAGACCAGCGCACTCTTCTCTGTTTGTTTTTTCTGCTCAATATTCATAAATTTGTTTTTGTGGATTTTCCAGTAAAAATAGTTCTAATCTCCCATGTTTAGAAGTCCATGAAATCTTTGAGCTTTCAAAGACTAGGACTTGCATTGCTCAAGGTACCATAAATAGAATATTTTTGATGGGAGATCTAGGGTGATAATCCTTAAGGATTGGAAATAATCCTTTTATCATATTCACATCATTTCTTGACCAAGTCTATAGAGCATCAGAGGTCATATTACTGACACAGTCTTACTTAATTTCTTAATTCAAGCAGGGCGATTTTTCTGGTTTGGAAGAAACAATAAGAATCCGGCACCAGATCCATCTCTTATCTTGAATGCAGCACAGCCTTGGGATCAAATAATCGACGCAGTAGGGGAACCAGGTGATGGAATTAAACAGAAAATACAGGCTAAAAACACTGACGTAATGAGTTTTAGTCTTTCAAGGAAGAAATGTTACAAAATTGTTGAAATTCAACCTTGAAATTTACATATATATATTTTTTTCTATAATCTAATTTTTATTGTCTTTCAATTTAACATTGGCAGCTATCACCAACATTAGTAAGAAATTTTTTTAGGAAGTTGCGACACATATTGAATAGAAATATGGAACTCATGCAGATGAAAAACCCATGAAAGGGGCTGCACTTCCCACGAAACTAGAAAGTGAAATTAAAGAGAGAATAAATGTTCAAGCTAAAATGCTTCAAGGTATGTATACTGTAATCTCTCTGCAAATCCTGCTAACCATGTCTAGTTGTGCTATTCTTTCCACTTCTATTTAGTCTTATATTTGCTAATAGGATATTTCTGGTGTTTATTACTACTTATGAATCAGGATTAGCCATGTATAACACAGTCCAATGTGAAATTTAGTCCTGCCCTGACTCAATGAATTTCCTTGGTTTATAATGCCAATTGATTTAAGTTCCAATGTTCTGCTTAGATTTTCATGTATAAATATGTTACAATTTTCAATTGAGATTAATGTAGATGGTAAATTAATGGTTAACGGCTTTTGTTCATAATATTCATTGGCATAGAGTCTACTGTGCATCATGTGTATGACTACCAGATAGTTGTTCCAAAACAAAATAATGCAGGAACTGATGCAACATTGCTTGATGCAGTGAAGTGTGAAGATTATGCAGGGCCATGCAGGGATTTTTGACAGCCAATACAATGAAATCAGAACTTGAAAACAGAAGAAGCAACTTTTTCTTTCATTTCATATCTTCTGTATAACAAATTACTGCACTTTATTTCAATTTCCTTTCATGGCTATGTATTTCAATTTCGTAGTGTAACTTTCATTTCAGCATCTTCTTTCTTAGTATAATTGTAGCGTAGCCTGGTACCATTCAATTCCAATCTTTAGATTGTAATTTGTTCCTCACTTAGTTTGTAACCAATTTACAAACTGCATTGATATGCTTAAGTTGAGTTTCGGTACAGGGTACCCATATACCTGTTAGAGTTGCACTACACAATCAACCGAATTTGATTCCAATTGTTATGGTGGAAACGCAAAATAACAACGCACGTTGTTCGAGGAATAATCAAGCAATCACAAAGAAAAAAAAAATCACACACAAGAACACAAAATATACATGGTTCACCCAAATCTTAGGATTACGTCCATGGAGCACACCGAATAAATTCACTATGAAAAATATGAAGAATTACAAGGAGAATTCTCTCTCAATCTCTCTCAATTGCTCTCTCTTGTATTAGCACACATTTATCTTTAATTTTCACCCCTATTTATAGAGTCTCAAACTTGTCCTACAAGAACTTGTCTTTTGTAGAATCCCAAACAAATAAGGAAATTAAATCAGATTAGAAAACTGAATTTTCCTTAAAACAATAAGGAAGTCAAATCAGATTAGGAAACTGAATTTTCCCTAACAGATTAGGAAACTGAATTTTAGGGGATTTTCCCTAAAATTCAGTACTCTTGAAGTTTCCATATAATTAAATCTTTCTAAAAATCTTCCACCTAATCAAACTCCACAAAACCACAACAATACCCACACCGCCACTAAATTTATTATTACTATTATTAATATTTTCTCCTCCTACATGGACACGTTGTTTTGCATGAGCTAGAGAGGAGATGATTGGGAATTAAATCCCCTTCCTTCCTTCCGCACAACGAATGCATATCACATCAACAATCAAACATGGCATGGAGATTCAATCACATATCAATCAATTAACACATACACAATTGTTGTGGTTTTGTGGAGTCTGATTAGGTGGAAGATTTTTAGGAAGATTTAATTATATGGAAACTTCAAGAGTACTGAATTTTAGGAAAAATTTAGTTTCCTAATCTGTTAGGGAAAATTCAGTTTCCTAATCTGATTTGACTTCCTTATTAGTTTAAGAAAAATTCAGTTTCCTAATCTGATTTAACTTCCTTATTGGTTTTGGATTCTACAAAAAGCAAATTCTTGTAGGACAAGTTTTGGGACTCTATAAATAGGGTGAGAAAGTTAGAAAAAAATTTGTGCCAATACAAGAGAGAGCAATTGAGAGAGACTTCTCATTGTAATTTTTTATCTTTTTCATAGTGATTTTGTTCAGTGTGCTCCATAGATGTAGCCCTAAGATTTGGGTGAACCATGTATATCTTGTGTTCTTGTGTGTGATTTTTTATTCTTCGTGATTGCTTGTTTATTCCTTGAACAATGTTGTTTATTTTGCGTTTCTGCCACAACAACTGGTATCAAATCCGGTTGATTATATAGTGCAACTCTAACAACTGGTATCAGAGCCTTTGGTTGAGAACCTAGGGCACAGAAGGTGTTTGACGAAATTCTGAAAGTCTTTCGATCAGATCTGTCCGTTCGAGTAGGAGTAATGGCATCAGAAGATAAGACATCCACATCCATGATCGAGAAGTTCGATGGCACAAACTTCAGTTTCTGGAAGATGCAAATTGAAGACCTTTTGTTTCAAAAAAGTCTGTTTCAACCTTT